CACCCGGCCACCCCCGCCACCCCCCGGCTACCCTGCACCTGCGCCCCCAGCTGCCCCCCACACCGCTGACATCTACGTGCGGGCCAAGAACAACCTGCGTCATGTGGAGAGCCAGGCACTGCGCCGAGAGGTACGGCCCCATGCACCATGTCCCCTGCACCATGCCCCATACACACCTCAAGGGACATACCACCCGGGAGGGACATGCCACTGGGCACCCATCCCCTTTGAGGAATTGTTGCCTGCAGTGGGAGGGGACAGTCCCAGCTGGAGGCCACATGCCTGCAACGCTGGCATGCACTGGGGGGGCTAGGGCTGAACCAACAGCGAGGATGAAGCAAGATGGGGCCAGTGAGGCTCTGGTGGTTCCATGGCACTGGGTGGGCCCACTCCACTCCTGGGGCACCCGGCAGCATCATGCCATGGCAGCCGCGCCCATGAGGCCCGGCGATGCCACCGGCACCATGCCGAGCTGGGCGTGGGCAGCTGCGCAGGCGGTAACCCGAGCGGCCGGCTCCGGTGTCGCCCGAGCCACAGGTGTCGGGTGGCACAGCCAGCGCTGCCAGGAGCTGAGAGGGCTCAGCCAGGCGTGCACAGGTAAGAGGGGTGCAGCCCTCCATGGCGGGCTGGGGGGGCATAGGGATGCAGTGGATTTGGGGCCGCCCTGACCCCCCACCTTGGCTCTTACCACCTCATCGGGGACAGGATTCTGGGCACGGTCAGGACACAGGCCGAGCCCAGCGCTCTGAGGGATGGGGCACATGGGGTGGGGGTCTCGGCAGAGCAGTGTGTGCCAGGCACATGGCAGGCTCAACAGTGCTCCTTATGCACGGCCTTGGCTCTTTAGTGTTTGCCGGAGTAACAGGCTGCTTTGGGGAGGTATGGGGGTGTGGCAGAGCGGTGTGCCACAGTGGTGCGGGTGTGCCATGAAATGGGGCTCAGCGGCACGGATCTTTTCGCCAGACCGGGGCTGGGACTGCCGGAGAGGGAGCCAAGCTTGGCACAACTCCCGTGGCAGCCGGAGTAGGAAGCACCGAGCTGACGTTTGTTGATTTAGCTGGGGCTGGCAGCGGCGGCAGGCATCCAGGCTCACCGTGAAAATGGCATGGGTGGAGGTTGTGTACGGGGAAATGGAAATAGCGGGGCCCCCAGCAAGGGGAGCAGGGCTATGCCGCGGTGGCACCCCAAACCCAGGGAGCAGGCACAGCTCCCTGCAAGGCAGCACTCGGCAGCACAATTCGCAAAGCCGCTGTGGAATGCGCTGGGGTGAGCTGAGGCTGCGCTGCTTGAGAGCCCTGTTCATAGGGAGGTTTGGAACCGGGCCCCAGCCCCGCGCGAGATAAGCTTCCGGTAATCCGCGGGGCTGGGGCTCGGCACTCCTGTTCCCAGGGGGTTATCCCGGGGGAGGCTTGGACGGGATCCTCGGCACAGTCTATGGGGTCACAGTGCCAGGCACTGATGCCGCACGCTGCCACCGTGGCACGCAGCCCCTGGCAGAGCCGTTTGCCGAACAGACCCCGGGGTACGCACCTGTTGTCCGTCCCAGCTCTGCATCTGCCCCAAGGCAAACCGCTGGCACGGCCCTACTCCACCACGGCCCAGCGCCACGGTCATAGCCGGGCACGGCGGTGCTGAGGTGGGTTCCCCATTGCAGCTGGCATCGCGTGACAGCAGTCCCGAAGGCCTGCGCCGGGCCGACTCCAGCAGGCGGTCAAGGAATTTCGGCAAGCAGCCGAGCACCGGTGACTACTACAAGCACCTGGGGCACGTTGTGGCCGAGCAGCCAAGCCCCCAGCGAATGGCGCACACCGAGGAGGTGAGCCCCGCGCCGAGAGCCTGTGCACAGCTCAGTGGCACCGGCACCGAGCAACGCCTGCCGTGCTCTGTTGCAGGCATCACCCATCTCGGCGGACACCATGAGCAACGGGGAGAGCAAACCTGGTGCCGAGCTGCCGCCTCCACCCCCGCCCCCACCACTGCCCGACACCGCCTGCCCGACGCCCCCACCGCCGCCCCCGCCCGTGGAGACTCCCGCCGGGCCCCGCCGCTCCTCCTCCTCTACGGGAAGTAAGTGGCAGGGCGCCGGGTGGGTACAGGGAGTGGTCCTGGGCGCTGTCCCATCGGCATTGTAGCACTGATCTCCTTGGCTCGTCTCCTCCCGCGGCACTTCGGCCGTGCGGCTCCTGACAGCCTTTCTGTCCTTCTCTCCTCCGGTGTCGGCGCGGGGGCCCCCACGCCCGCTCGCCCCTGCCTGCTCTCACTGCTGGCCGCTTCTCTTCTCTCTTGTCTCGCGGTGGCCAAATCCTTCCTCTGCCGCGCGCCCCGCGCCGCCTCTCTGCTTCTCTCCCTAGGAGGAAAGGCGCTCAGGCAGATGAAGAGTAAGTACCGCGGCCCCACGCTCCTCCCTGCTCAGGGGGTGCCCTGGCGCGGGGCACAGCCGGAGGGCCCCGTGCCGGCGCCGTCCTGTGCTGCGGCCACGGGGCATCGACGGCCGCTGGGGCTTGTCACCTGCCCGCGGGGCTCCGGCCGCCGGGCCCTCGCTGCGCGTCGCCGGCCGGCGGTGCCACGAGGGAGGCCAAGCGCCGGTGCGGGGCTGCCGGAGCCGCCAGGCAGGGCTGGCAGGGCTGGGCGGGCAGCCGGGCCCCGCGGCCCCGCACACAGAGAGCCTTTGTTCGCGCTCAGCCGGCCGGCGTGACCCCGCCACGTGAGCACACCGGCCGCTCCCCCGCCGCTGACTGCAGCCGGCGGGCTTGGCCGCTGCTCGGCGCCCGCTTTATTAGCGCCGGCTCCCGGGATCGGGGGGTCTCAGCCGGCGCTGGATGGCAGCGCGCGCGTCCCGCTGGGCCCTCAGCACCCGCAGCCCTCTGGCTCCGGCGTGGCGCAGCCGAGCAGAGCGAGCTGCGGGCGCCGGTCGCGGGGAGGGGGCTTTGCCTTGGCACGATACCATGGGCCGCTAGGGACTCACGCATGGCTGGCACGGACGGTGGGTGCTCGCGAGGCGGGTGGCATGAGCAGCGGGAAGAGCATCTCCGGGGTCCCGGTGCCACGCAGCCCTTTGGGCACCGGGCTGGCAGGGAGTCTGGCTGGTGTCGGTGCATCGCTGCTGGGAGCTGCCAGGGGACTGTAGGAGCCGTCTTGCAGTGGCAGGGCTGCCACCGGCCATGGAGCCATCCCTCCAGAGGCGCACTTCTGTTCCAACATAGTGCCTCGGGGGCATGGAGTGCATTGTGCATGGAGTGACATTAGGGGCTGGGGCCAGGCTGGGACCCTTGCAGCCGATTGTTGGGGTGCTGGGGTACTGCTGCAGCAGGGTGCCATGGGCCCTGTAAGCTGCTGTTGGAGTGCTGGTCTTATGGATCTTGTGGAGCTTGGGTGCCGGGCCATTGAGTGCTGAGGGGTTGCTCCACTGGGGTCTGATGGACCCAGGAGTTTGGTGATGTGCTGTTCCTGTGGACCTGACGGAGTGTCAGGATGCTGCTTCAAGGGCCTTCCAGGGGCTCCTGGATGGCGGGGAGGAGGGGGTGGGGCAGTCAGCCAACCACCCCTCCACCCCCCTACCCTGTGAGCTGATGGGGGATTCACAGGGACAGGGAAATGGTGCTGGCAGGGTGCTTACTGCTCCTCCCGCCTCCCTTCAGGCACCAAGTCGTTCAACATGATGTCCCCCACCGGCGACAACTCGGAGCTGCTGGCCGAGATCAAAGCTGGGAAGAGCCTCAAGCCAACGCCACAGAGCAAAGGCTTCACCACTGTCTTCTCCGGCAGCGGCCAGGCAGGGGCCAACGTAGGTGGTGATGGGGGCCAGGGGAGCCGGTGGCACGGCGCAGCACAGCACGGCAAGTGCCCACCGCCCTCCCTCCCTCCTTCCACAGGCAGAGTCGCCAGTGTCCTCCCCGTCACCCACCAGGACGCCCACCCCGCCGGCCACCCCCGAGGCTGCTGGGCCACCACGCTGCCTGGCAGGCGGCTCACCAGAGCCTGTGCTGAACGGAAGCTCACCGGTGCCGGCAGCAGGCGCTGGTGCAGCGGTGGAGGTGGAGGCGCTGGTGCCGAGCCAGGACGAGCAGGGTCGGCCCATCCCGGAGTGGAAGCGGCAGGTGATGGTTCGCAAGCTGCAGCTCCGCATGCAGGAGGAAGAGGAGCAGAGGCGCAAGGTAGGAGGTCCCACGTGCCGCTGCAGCGGCGAGCGCGGCGCGGGCATGGCCCAAGCAGCTCAGGACCTGGCGAGACGGCTTGCGTGGCATTGCCTCTGGCTCCCAGTTGGGCTGGGGACCACCCTACCTGCATGCAGGGTCGTCATACCCCGGGGATGCCACACACGGCGGCAGTCTCCTCTGCACGAGGTGCGTGCGGCACGGCCTCAGGAGCCCCTTTGCCCTCTTTCCCGCCGCAGCCTGGGAGCCGCTCGCCGCGCCCGTGCCAGCGCGGGCCACCTGCCCGCGGGGGCATACCGGGACCCGCCGGGCAGCCGATGCGGGAGGAGGACATGCAGCACCTGGAGAGGCAGCTGGGGAGCCTGCGGGTGATGCACGAGGCGCAGCAGGGGCAGCCGCTTCCAGGGGGCCCGGAGAAGGAGCTGCTGCCACTCGTGCCGCTCTCCACCCCCCCGGCACCCCGGCGCTTCGCCCTCGCCCACCAGGACGCGCCTGCCCCCGGCAGCCAGTCCCCCACGCTGCCGAGGAGCGCGGCCGCAGCACCAGCCACCCTGAGGGGCCGGGAGGGCCCCGGGGCGGGGGGAGCGGTGGGAAGCCCCGGTGCCCAGCACGACGCCCGGCGCGAGATCCTGGGCTGCGGTGTCTCTGTCCGCAGCCTCAAGGCCAACTACGAGGGGCCAGGGGGGCCCCCTGCACCTCCCCCCAGGGTCACTAAGCGCAAGCGGGTGCAGCCCCCTGGTAGCACCCGCCGGCCCATCCTGGAGGAGGAATACGGGGATGGGGCAGTGCGGCGGAGCAGGCCAGCGCTGCCAGAGCCGAGCAGCCCACATGAACGCACCAAGGGGTGCAAGGAGCGTGCCGTCTTCCTCTTCCTGGAGCACTGGAAGAAGCGGGCACTCGCGGCGGTGCCTGGAGAGGAGCGGCCGCGGCGGCCGGGGAGGCGACGACCGGCAGCGGGGCGGCTGCTGGCCCGCTGGAGGAGTGTCGCCCGCCGGGTCCCAGGGCGTCAGATCCGGCGGCTGAGCCGCACAACGGTGCTGTACTGGCCCCAACACTTCCTGCCCCACGTCGGCGGCTCGCCCATGCCCCACGACAGCCTCCCGCTTGACCTCTTCATGCTGGGCTATTTCCAGCTGCTGGAGATGCCCCTCAGCCCCGAGGAGCGGCGCTTCCGCCACCTCCTCTGCTACGAGATGTTTGACCGCCTGGGCAGCCACAGCTGGCACCGTGTCCGCCGTTTCCACCGCATCGTGCTGGAACAGGTCGAGGCTGGCCACCGCCACTGGCTCGACGGCTTTGAGGACCTCGTACAGGAGTTTTTTGGGGATGACCCTGTTGCAGAGGTAGAGAGCCTGCCAGAGCCCTCCACCATGGCCCCGGAAGGGCAGGGGGCAGCCGTGCCAGTGCCGGAGCTGGGAGAGTTCAGCGAGGAGGACGTCTGCCGCTTCATTGACCGCAGCTTCTCCTTCTGGAAGGAGAAGGAGGCAGAGATGTTCGACACCTGAGTCCGGCGGGATGCTGCAGCCTGTGCCAGTGGTGTGGCGTGGGGCGGTAGCAAGCTCAGGGGACAGCTGTGGGCTGGTGCCCGGGTGCGCTCGCCTGCCTCTGTGGCTCGTGGTGCAGCTCAGCTTGGCAGAGGTCTGGGTGCTGTTCTGCGCGGCCCCGGGCCGAGGTTGCAGTGTGTGCCGCTTGCCGTGGCTGTGTGTTGTGTGGGAGGTGCAGCGGCGGGGCCGCGCTCCTCTCTGGTGTGGCGTTTGCGGTGCCGGGGCAGCGTGGGCCCCCGCGTGTCATGCAATAAAGCTGTGGTGTGCTGCAAGGGCTGGCCACGCCACGCGCTCCTTCATCCTCCCGGCGCCGACGGAAGGCGGGCAGTGAGGGGCCCGTCGGCGAGCCATGTGCTGGTGAACCCCACCAGTACCGTGCCAAGAAGGGCGGCTGCCAGAAGGATGTTATGCCGCGCACCAGGATGATGCTGCGGCCCCATGGTGCCGGCAGCGAGGGCGGGCAGTGCCGGTAACACGGCTGTCTGTTGCAGGAGAAAGAAGAGGAGGCGCGCCTGGCCAGCATGCCGGCCTGGAGGAGGGATATCCTGCGCAAGAAGCTGGAGGAAGAGAGGTGAGCCAGGGTAGGGGGATGCCGCACCAACCGGTCACTCCCGCGGCTCTGCTAACCCCGCTC